ATTCCCCTGGATGCCTCCCCCTCAGCATACCAGCGGGAGGGCTGCCTGCAGTAACCCCCATCCTCTCCCCTCCGCTGGAAGGGGCACACATCCCCCAGGAGCTCTGCAAGGCCAGCAAAGCTCTTGGCAGCGCCGTACCTGCGGGTGCCGCGCTGTCAGACAGCCAAGAAACAGTTTGTCACGAGGCAACCCCCACCCCCACATGCAATATTTTTTTTTTTTCCTTCAGGGAACAAATCCACAAGGCGTATCATGCTAAGTCTTCTGTGTCTTGGTGGCAAATCCCCTCCCACCCACCACTCCCCTGCTCCCTCCGCACACAAACCTCTCCACGCCGGACCTCCTCAGCACCTTTGCCTTTATGTGAATTTCCCCAAAAGGATCAGGGGAGGTGCCTTTTGTTAGCCCAGCAGCCTTGAAAACGATATTGTTTTCCAAGAAGGAGTTTTACATGCCTTCGATAATCCCAGAAGGGGATTTATGTAGTTTTCTTCCAGTTTCTCATAATGCTGCACTCACAGGAGTAAACAAAAACGGCTCAGGAGACGGACAACCTGTGAGATAAACTCAAAAGTTTAACATTCAGATCTATTAAATAAAGGTTACTCATGGGAAGCCTGGACTGTGGGAAACCCAAAAAACCCAAAAAGGGATCAGGAAAGCAGCTACTTACAAGCCCAGGTTAAAGCTGGACCAAAAAAGTGACGTAATAACAAAAGAAAACCAAACTCTCGGACCAACAACAGTAATGCAGAACTTTGGGTTCCTGGGCTACCAAGTCACTTGCTGTGCTACCTGCTACCAAAAAGAGGATCTATGAACTCAAAAGAGGAGTAGATAGATTTAAGTATTCTTCTCTGTTCCCTCAGAAGTAAGGGGTTTAGGTTTCAGGTTGGTGGGGCTTGGTTTTCTTTGGAGGTGGAAGAGGAACTAGAAAAGAAACGGGCAGTTTTCCTCCAGGTCCTATGTCCACACTAAATATAGCCACCAAAACCACACGCTATTAAAAACAGACAACACAAGACCAATGGAGCCTGAAGGGAAGATCATCAAGTTAAATCTGACACAGTTTTCAGGAAAGAAAAATCTTTTAAGGTCCAGTTGGCAATGATTTTAATAAGGAATTTTCTCAAGGCTGCCATGTGATTCAGAAAACAAGAGCTCAGAACTGCTGCGCACAGTTACTGTGACTTCTTTGTAACAGGTTATTAACTCTGATCTTTAGTATAGCATAATAGGGGAGACAGATATAAATAAGATCAAAACATATGACTCAAAGTCCCCAGATAAGGAGGACTCCGATTGAGAAACCGCCGCCTTCCGAAGCCGTCCAGGCCACCGGGAAAGCAGCCGTACAATGGCTCATAGAAAGTGGGCCAATCTTAAAATATTAGTATTACAACATGAGGCTTTTCAAGCTGAATTCTTGCAGCTCTGGCAGGCAGGGAGCTAGAAATAGAACACTTTGGATTTAGGATCACACATGCAGAGATCTGCCTGTGAAAGACACCAAAAGCAAGTGCCAGAGAGCATCTATCTGAGCAGGGAGCTAGGAAAACTGTCAAAAAGGGGGACAGGGAGGGAGAGCAAGCCCACACACTCGTCAACAAGAAAAAGGAGATCAGGGGAGACATTTCACTAGCTTCCTCCCAAAAATTGCTTTGTTGCTCATTCACTCCCTGCTGCAGCTTAGGAGCCAGGACACAACTCAGTCCTGGAGCAGGTAACGCCTTGCTCCCCCTTCACAGCAATAACCAACATCAGATTTCAAATGAGATATCTCCTTGTGCTGAGCAAAGTCAGGCAGGTCATTTCCTAGGGCAGTATAAAGGGTACCTTATGCTTCCTTGCATTAAATTCAAGTAATTGAATTCAAGTAAGTTAAATGCTCGGTCTGCTCAACTTGTAGGCAAATAGACCTGACAGTACTGGTAGAGGTTTAAGGTCTGTCAGAAGGAATAGAAAATTGCCCCCCTTTCAAAAGTTATTTATTTATTATTTGTAAGTAAACAATGATTTTTAAAAGAGAAGCTTTTTTTGCAGACTGCCTCAGAACTCGTGTTTATTCACACTTCAAAAGATTAGAGCGACAAGGGAGTGGGAATGTGCTGCAGCTCTCTCTTAACTTGAAGTTTCTTGCCCAGCAGCTTAGAAGTGAAACAGATACTTATTTTGCAATTGTGGGCAAAGAACATTAATAATAGGCCCACCACCAAATCCTCCAGCTGTTCAGCCTAAGCACCAGAACAAATACAGAACCACCATCTTCCGCAGGGGCGTAAGGACATATATTCTGCCGTGCTCTGCTTTTAATCTCCTCCTCGTAAGCATCCATTCCATGTTTGGGTGAAGAACATTTTGCTCCTGCCCAAAAAGTGAGCTTCAAAACCCCACCCGCCCAGCTAATTACCAAACTTCTTAAACTAAACCCCAAACCCCAGGCCTTTCTCCTTTAACCGACTGAAGTCTTCAACCGACAGCACTTTCACACCAGCGGTGGTAGCAGGGACCTGGGTGGAAAGAGGTCCACGTGAGTTCTGAAGGAAGCCTCCAGCCACAGAAGGTCAACGTGGTGGGAAGGGAATGATTAAAAACCCTAAGCTTATTTATTTTCAACACTCTACGGGGAGAGTAACACGCCAGTTGATTCTCACCCTTAATTTGTAGATTCTCACGGGAATTTGGCAAGGTTGCTCTGAAGAAGAAAGTTTGGAGAACTCTTGCAAAAGACATCGCGCTATGCCAGATCAAGCGAGCTATCAGTTATTTACAGTCACTTCAAAGGACACAAAGGAAGCCATTTATTTCCACCATATCTGCACTTTTTTCAAGAGAAACCAGTTAGGACAGAGCTGGTCCTAACACCAGAGCTTGCCAACACAGACCAGCTATGCTACAGTAAACATTTAACTATGATCAAACTACCCTGAATTAATTCACAACTACAGAGATTATTCAAGGACACAACAATCTCAGGAGGACACAGATGTTGAGGAGTCACCCTAACCTTGTGCCTCTGGGACATTTCCTAGCGCGGGCAAGGGAAGTCCTCTGGCTCCCGGGGAAAGTAGTCTCTGGTCTGCACCTTCCAAGCCACCCAGGAGAATTTTTAAGAAGCCTGTTTTAAGCACAAGTTTCAGGAATTGTAAGGAGGCATATTTGGCTTAGCCACACTTGCAGGATTAAAATGCACACCTAATTCTCCCAGCTATTAAATAAAAGGACTCCTATGTTAACACACATGAGTGCATTCCACCTCTTTCCAACAGGGGAAATCGAGCAACATAGTATTAATTTCTTCAGACACATTGCTACAAACAAAATGAGAGAAAACCCAAGTCTCCCTACAGGTTAAGAAACCCATCATGCTATCTGGAGCCCAAATAACAGGGTGGGGAAGAAGGGGGAGAAGAACAACCCTATGCCCACACATGCTGCAAAATCCATCTTAACCAGCCAACAGTTAACTGACATAATTGAGTTTCCCAGATCCCACAGCCGAGGGAGGCTCTCCCTCATCTCTCCTTCAACAGCTCCAAACACAAGTAAGATTTCCCCATCACTACACAGAGGCAGAAAGAGAGAAAGAAAACCAGTGCTGCACCGGTCAGTAAAAAGCAGGAGTATGTTCACCTACTCTCCGGGAAGAAGAAATAAAGATAAGGAAACCATGGGATAACCCTCCAAATCCCCAAAATCACATTACGCAGGATGAAAGAGCTCAAACACCACGCTGTCCGAGCTCAGGGAAACAGGACCTGAAATTTAAGTGGTAATCTAAATTTATTCCCTAGAAATACCATTCATAATTTACAAAGTTCTTAAGGTAACTTCTGCAGTCGGTAAAGGTGAACTCAAACTCTGACCCGCGGGGTCCGCGCAGCCGTACGGCCAGATCCTCCCCCAGGGACCGAGCTGCCGGGCGCTCCTTTGATCAGATGTCCCCAAGCCCTTTGATCAGATCCCCCTGGTCCTTTGATCAGGTCCCCCCGGGTACGATCAGCTCCGTCGCATTCCCATTGCCATCAGTTTTCCAGCACGGGAGTCCACACACCCAACGTGTTTGAAACATCACTTAACTATTTCTTTGAAAGCACTTCCCCGCACAGGCCACACAGTATTAATATTATTATTTGACCTGTAGAGAGAAAAATTTTAAAAAAGCAAAACTTTGCTCATAAGCAAAAGCTTCTAACAGGAACTAAGATGCATTTGTCAGTTCAACACCTCCTATAATTAAGATGGGCCTGGAAAGCCTCAGATACAACTCCCTCAGAGGAGGAAAGTCTGTTCTGATGCAACTAAAACACACGCTACACCAGAGAGACAGAAAGTGTCACGTCTTTGCTGAGAGAAGCCTGGGGGGAAAAAAAGAGCTGTAACTCTGAAGCTCAGCACCAAGAGGTGCTTTCAAACAGACCTCAGGACCCCGAAACTATTGATGAGTTACAAGATCAACCAAAATCACTGGAAGGCGAGCAGAGAAGCTGCGGTCGGCCGGCGGAGGCTATGAATGGAGCTAGAACGCCTTGTTTATCTCAGCACGTGTGTGTGTGTTTTTGTGTGTGTACTAAAGCCTGAAAGAGAGGGGTGACCCGACCCCAGCCGCCCACCCGGCTCCTCACCCCTTCAGCCCAGCTGAAAAAGCAGGGGAAGAAGAACACAGCCCGAGCAAGGAACGGGCACGGATTCCCGTCAGCGGCTCTGGCTATAAAGGGACAGACGAGTGGAAAAAAGAAGGCAAGGAAAGAAAACAACCTTGCTTGGCCCCGTGCCCACACACACATCCCAGTGCAGTGGGGAAAAGAGGCCGGGGGGCACATACCGGCCGCGTATCAGCTTTCTGGCCCAGGGAAGAGGCAGATGCCTACAAAACCGGCCGCTCTGTCCCAAACGCACCTTCTCAACCCCCTCCGTAGAGTTCCCTCACCTCGAGAAGGTTGATGCTGACCACCACCCACCACCACCACCCCCCACCACCACCACAGGCACGAGCCCACCTTTCTTGAACTCCTCCAGCATGGCATCAAGCTTGGTGTCGTTGAAGACAAAGTGCAGGGGGTGGTTGTAGAAGCGGGTGATGGTCTTGAGCGGCGTGCAGTCGTCGGGGTCCACAAAAGCCAGGTCCTTCACGAAGAGCAGGTCCACGATGTTGGAGCGGTCACCCTCGAACACGGGGATGCGGGTATAACCGCTCTCCATGATCTCGGACATAGTGTTGAAGTCGAGCACGGCCTCAGCGGCGATCATGAAGCAGTCTCGGAGTGGAGTCATCACGTCCTCCACAGTCTTGGTGCGCAGCTCCAGGGCCCCTTGGATAATGTTGAGCTCCTCCTTGACTAGATCATTATAAGGGTCGGTGACCCGCAGCATCTCCAGCAACTTCTCACGGTTATAGACCGTGCCGATCTCCTGTCCCAGGACACAGTCCAGCAACTTGCTGACAGGGTAGGAGGCCGGGAAGGTCATCATCATGAAAAACTTAGTGAGGAAGATGGTGTTGGCGCCCACGGCCAGGCCGTGCCGAGAGCAAATCGCCTGCGGCACGATCTCGCCGAAGATGACGATACCGATGGTGGAGACCACCACGGCCACCAACCCAGAGCCAGCAATATCGTCCAGCAGGATGGTGAGCGTAGTGTTGACCAGGACATTGCCCAGGAGGAGGGAGCAGAGCAGGTAGTTGCCCTGGCGGCGCACGGGCTCAATGCGCTTGGCGTAGTTCTTCTCCTTGTCCGTGCCACAGTTCTGCACGATGCGCAGCTCCATGGGGTCCAGGGCCATGAGGCCCAGGTTGAGGCCGCTGAACATGCCCGAGAGGCAGAGGAGGAGCGAGATGAAGATGACCTGCAGCCAGAAGGGCAGCAAGAACTTCTTCTCCTCCCCCACGATCATCTTGGTGTCCTCACCGTCGTGGTAGATCCAGGTGGTCTCCCCCCAGGGCGGGGGTCCGGCGGGTCCCTCGGCACCCACCAACCCTCCGGTAGCCCCGGGCCCCAGGGCGGCAGCGGCGGGGGCCGAGACGGAGGTGCACAGGTAGTAGGACTTGCTCTTCTCCGTCTTGCGGAGGGGCTTGATCTCGATCTCGATGATGCCGGAGGTGCGGCGGTTGAGGACGATGTGCGGCAGGATGATGATGTCCGAGGTGCGGATGCCGCAGCGCTGCGGGGCGCCCCCGACGCCGCCGCCCCCCCCTCCTCCTCCG